GGTTGGATGCAGTGGAAGATAATTCCAAAGCAAGCCCAGAGAATGGGAGTGGCTGGCCGCTCTACCCTATCCTTCTGTTGCTAGAGCCGCGGGTGTCCATGGTTACCGAACACTGGTTAGCACCCTGCCGCTGGAGTCACCCCACCCCTGGTAAAATGTTCCGATAGACGGGGGACTTCCTTCTTTGACCTAAGTAGGAGTCTGAGATCCCCGTTAGGGTCTCAAGAGCGGTGGCTTTGCGGAGCGACATCCCGGATGCCATCCCCGGTCAAGGTTGTGCAGAGAAACTAAGCAGGGTGAGCCCTAGTATCCCCCACCCTGACTTACCTTGTAGTCATTAACCCAGTAGGTGACTTTATCGTGCAGCGCTTGAAAAGATTCACTTTTGGCCAGCTTCTTCACGCTCTCTGCCATCGCGCACTTTTTCGCGCTTCCGACTCACGGAGGTCTAGTTAGTAGAGGGGACGAGGGGGTGGGTGGCTTAGGCTGGACGACGGGGTGATGTAGCTTAAGGATGTTATCTTCCACACGGGCTCAGAACGCGGCTGGAGTGTCCATCCTCCCCCTCGGGTCGGACCGGGCAGGTCCCCCCTGCCCGGCGCGCTGTTCTGGCTCCCCCGCAGCCGCCTGCCAGCCAGGCCATAAATACCCCGGCGATTATTAAACAAACCTTGACGTGGCGGCCGGCTGCCAGGGACCCGGGGCTAGCGTCGGAGCAACGCCCCGCCCCCCACTCCTCGCGCCCAGCCTTGGGATCCACCGCTACTGCGACCTCCTCCCACCCCCGCGGTGACACTGCCCGCCCGGGACGAAGGCACCGAAGCAGTTGGAACTCCGGCTTGTGCCACCCGCTGGGGTACATCCAGACCCTGGGGTAGGGGTGGGGGACTGCTGTGGGACTCTGCGCTGGATTTAGACCATCCGAGAGAAGAGGGCTGGGAAACCACAGGACACCTAACCTAGGGCTGCACCCAGCTCTGGGTGACAGTGCGTACCCAGGAAAGCAAGTTGACTTCGTGAAAATTTTGAGTATACTTTTTGTCAACCGCTTCCTTGGCCCTATTCCTCCACCCCTGGGGTCTTTAATTCTCCATTTGTCTTTGTGAAACTGGGACTCCAATGTCCGTGTTTACTACTTTTATTCTGGGCTTTGTGTCCTATTCTGTGGGTCTGTCCGTTGATTTGTACTGTATAGAAAGACACAAACAGCTACACAGCGGGATCCTCGCCCTGACTTCCAGGTCTTCCTCAGCAAGGACCGGTGCAAGCCTGTGTTGTGTGTGGTGGGTGCCATGACACTCTTGTCTTCTGTCCGGGACCTATATTGCTGTTCCAAGGAAATCCAGCTTCTGTTCCATTTGCACGAAATTGCTTTTCAAACGGAATTTCCGCAATGATAAGATTTCCCAGTCTGTGACGTATTTGTCATGCAAGCTCCGAGGACGAGAGTTTGGATCCCCAGGACACACGGTGTTTGGTTTTTTGTTTGTTTGTTTTATTTTGTTTTACAGCTGGACACTGAGACAGGAGACTCTCTGGGACTGCTGACCAATTAGTCTAGATAATTCCTGCGCTACTGGTTCAGGCAGAGATCCTGTATCAAAAAAATAAAAAAATAAGGTGAAGAGATTCAAACACTATCTACAAAAGAGCAAGACCGGGGGGGGGACGGGGGGCGGGAGGGAGGGAGGGAGGGAGGGAGAAAGAGAATATTTTGTTCTTTATGTTTTCTTCCACTTAAACAGAAAACAGCAAACACACACCCGAGGAATACTCAGCCGGTTCAGACAGACGCTGCAGGCAGGTTCCTGGACTAGAAAGCACTGAAGCCAAGGGTGCCTGTATAGTGCCAATGCCAGCATGCCTTCTCTCTAGGCGGACCAAAATTATTTTTCTGTACAACTGTTCCCTGCCCAGTTTGCCTAAAGTACACAGAAAACTGCAGAAATTGTAATCTTTCACAATTGTAGTAGCTAAACATTTGTAACTAATTTAAACGCAGAATAAAAGAGGAAAACAAGGTAGATAGATTGTATTGACCCAAATACCCCCTAAACCCAACCAAGGTCTCTGTTGTAGTTACTTCAGCACAGAAGGGATCTCTACCCTCAACTTTTTCAGCACTAGTAGATCAATATAGAAGCAAATACTCCATGTGATGATGGCCATCGAAGGTCTAAGCATGCGCCAAGACACTGTGGAGGAGTGATGAGTTGGCAGATGCCCTTCAGCATCTCAGGAGAATGAAGTGGTGCAGCATGAAGGCAGTAACTAGGATGAGGGATGAGGAAATAGACCCTTTTCACACATTTAATAGCATTTAGTGAATTTCCATGATGACCTACCCATCTGCCTCAAGTATAAAAAGAAGACAGACTGGCTTCCTGCTCTCTGGGATCTTACAATCAGTAAGAGACATAAGAACCATGGCTCAGCACGAAACACACTAATAGGACAAGAATATGACCATAGATAGTGGTTCCTTCTTCCTTTACCTCCTCCCCTGTCTCCTTGGAACAAGATGACATTCAGAGGCAGCTCCGTAAGAATGGAGGCGTCTACTAAGAAGAGATGAGAAAGTGGATGCAGAGAAATAAAGCCACAAGGGAAAGAAACAGTCGTGTCCAGCGTGACTACAGAGTCTGAGGCATTCTGAGAATAGTCCTTGGTCTGGGTAGGAGGAGCCTTGTATACCAAGAGATTAATGTTTATTTTGTAAGCAGTGGGAAGGCAGCCAGAGATATAATCAGAATAACATGTAATTAGATGTCTTACATGTCGTATGAGAGGTTCTAGAAGAGGTGGGACCGGCCTCAGCAAGAGCTCTTAGGAGGCCTAGAGTGAGGGGAATGTGATCTTTCTCAGAGATATTGTATATTGAGTGTGAAAGCAGATCTATGTCAGAGATACTTAAGGCATTTTACATTCAGTGAAAAAGATCAGTATTGACTCATCAAAGTTATTTGGTATTTAGTGTGTATTTGGTTCCCTCTGTGATCAGGACTTGGAGTAATATAATATACTGCACTCAGTTTGCAAGGAGCACACAGTCTGCTTAGGAGAAAATTATGTTAAAAGCAGAATAATACAAGATAAAATACTGAATATCAAGTGGGTGTCATAGTGAACTGGTATAACTCCAGTTAAAACAAGATTGTTGTGAGAATTAGAGACATTGCAAGCACACAGCACCCTTTAAATATTTCAGAAGGGGAACAAGCTTCAAAACAGCGCCATCAGGCATGACTAACACTACCCTTGTGGTTAAATCAATGAATTGGTTCTCTTTTTTTAAAGACAAATTGTGGGGTTGGAGGGATGGCTCAGAGGTTAAGAGCATTGGCTGCTCCTGCAGAGGACCTGAGTTTGAGTCCCTGCACACATTTGGTGGCTCATAACTGTAACTCCAGTCCTGGGGGATTTAACACCCTCTTCTGACCTCCACCAGCACCAGGCATGAAGGTGGTACACACACATATCTGGGGGGGAAACATTCATACACAAATAATATCAAATCTTAGAAAACAACAGCAACCAAAGGACACATTGGCAACAAGAACAACTGGGTGTCCTGCCAGTAATGCATCAGCAACAAAGAATCCAAGGAGGGGAGACTCATCTCAGACAGCCAAGGGGCATCTGACTTCGGAAAAATCCATTATTGAAGTACCTATGTGGAGATGAGTTAAGAAACGCAAGGTGAGGCTTCTTCTATTCTTGAAATCTGGAGCGCCAGGCAGCTCTGGAAAACATTTAATAAGTTTCATTATTGTGAGTGATTGAGACATGACACAAGGTTAGAAACAGAGTGCCTCATACCAGTGACCAGAGCTTCAGGAGACTTTGAAGAGAATGTGACATTTAATGGGTTCTTGGGGACACAGAGGAGTATATGTGTCAGAGAAAAAGGAACATAGTGTCAGTGAAGCACAGGAACCCAGAATCAGTCAAAAGTCATGTCAAAGTTGATAAATGCGACCAAAGCCAATCTACTACACAAGACACTGCCGATTCTCAAACCTGTGGGTTGTGATTTATATAGGCTTCCTGACTAAAATGCAGGTTTGCCTCAGTCAATGATTGAGCCAGGCAGTTTCAGCAGTTGGGGAAGAAGGCAGGAGCAGGCAAATGACCACATAGATACAGCTTATATCCAAAAATCAGACATGAGGGTAGAATGGGGGTGGGGAAGAAGGTTGAGAGACATTTGTTATGTGTCAGAGTATTTAACTCCACAGCTATCCTCAGAAGTAGATGGAGCCTCAAAGTGACAGTTGGGTTACCAAAGCAGCACCTGGAGAAACGAAAAGAGAGTCAGGCATTCCCCCTGGGAGGCCTAGCCTACTATTTTAGAAACTATTCATGATCTGAGAAACAGTTCTTGAACTTCGGATGCTACTCTATTGTTTTCAACGTCACGGATTCTTATAGGAGAGAGCTATAACCTGCAGCTCTTGAGTGTCTTCCTGGTGTTCACTGGGTGTCAAGTTAGGTTCCTAAGGACCTAATGTAGTCAGTACATCTCCAATATTGTATGTGTGGACAGACAATTTGCTCCTAATGTCTCAAAGACAAGAGTGCCAGATTTGACTTCACAGTACTCCCGAGGGGAGGAACTAGTTTGATTTAAGCTACTTAACTCCTTTCCACTTGGTGTGCACCAAGCCTCACCCACGAGTTCTCTCGATGGCATCTTTCTCTTGCAATTTGTCACAGCTCGGGATGATACAGTATCCCAAGATGGGGAGTTGATGGAAGACAAAGGCGTGTTTTGGATTTTGAGGGCGTCCTTTCCCAAGAACTTGAGGACGCCCCAGAGCGTTTGGAATTCCTGCCACGCCCATGAAGCCAGGCTCACGGTAGCGAGTTACGGGCCTCCAGGGATCCGAGCCTACCCAGACTCTTGCCCACTCAGGATTTCTTTCGAGGGCGTGGCGAGGGCGTGTCAGGGCGTGGCCATCGAGGGTGTGAGCCCCACCCCCGTGCCAGAGCGCAAGCGCGGGCTGCGGCGGGCCAAGATGGCGGCGGCGGCGGCGGCAGCGGCGGCGACCGAGCAGGTCTGTGAGCCTGCTGCGGCCGAGGGCTTGGGAAGCCGGGTGGCCGGGTCGACCCCATAGAGGGCGGGGACGAGGGCGCGAGGGCTGGGCTGGGGCGGCGGAGGGAGGCGGCAGGGCGGGGCAGCAGGGCCGGAGCTGTCCGCAACCAAGATGCTGGCTAAGGCCGGGCTGACTCCTGGGCAGCGGCTCCCGGCCGGAGAGGGGAGCTGTCCCTCTGCGGGAGTGACACGGGTCATGGCCTGCCTGCGGAGCCTGCGCCTGGACGTGCCTCTCCGCAGCCAGAAACCATGAGGATAAAAATAACGTCAGCTAGGGCTGGGAGACTGCCCCATACCAGCCAAGTCGTGGTCAGCTGCTGCCTGGCGTGGATCGTGGCTAGGTCTTGTTTCTGCCATGCCCGATGTGCAGACGGCCCAGATTTCCCCGCCCACTTTGGTTTCTCGGAGATTCAGATACCAATATAAAACTGACCCGTGTCTAGTGGGTTTAAGATCACTTTTAAGAAATGCGTTATCAAATGTTTCCTGGTCTTCGTTGTAAGCCTAGAATATACAGGCTTCCCTTGAAATATCAAGCTGTCCTAGACCATGCACATATGTGTATGTGCGTGAAGTGTGTGAATACACGCTCGTGCATGTAGTCGCCAAAGTGACTTTATTATAATAAAAAGCTATTTTTGTAGTCACTACTTTACTATTTGTTGTTTCCCTTTGTAAATAGCCAGTAAGATGGTTTCTCTTTAGAAGTCTCATTCTTCAACATCAGTGCTCGGAGAAAGTGAACGAATGAAGTTGAAAATATTCAACCGGGGGAATATTTTCTTAAGTGGCTAACATTTTAGCGATTGACCTGTTAAGTATATGTTCCTGGAGGACTCGTTCTAGGAGGTATGAAAAATAGACATGAAATCTGCTAGACGGGCAACCAAATCCGCTGTGACCATAGGCAAGTACAGATTCAGAACAAAGTGGAGAGGAACAGGTGAAGCTGAAAGAGACAGAGCGGACTTGTCGGGACGGAAGCTGTTCTTTGGCTTTCCTAGTTTACCCCTTAACTAAATCAGCCTCTGGGTTAGAGAAGTCTTTGTTCTTCTGCGCATGCATCTTGATGCTCTGAGGTTCTATTCTACTGAAGTTACATTGGCCTGCTCACATGGCTACCCTAACCAGAGCAGGGCTGACTGCAGAGAGCAAAGGAGAAACACGCATTGGACTAAATGATCTGTTTTCCTCAAGTTTGTATTTGAGCATGATAGGATGCTTTTGTGTTTGGGGTCCCACTCCCTATGTAATCTATTCTGTTTGGGAGTCATTGTAGTCCCTGCTGTGTCACAGTCACTGGGTCCTCGAGGTTCTGCCTCTTAAAGCTTCTCCCCAGCTTCATCGCCAAAGGAGGATGTTGGTTCATCTTCTCCAGCTCTTCTATTCCAGTTCTCAGTTGGAGCATGCGTTTGCTTCAATGTAAATGTCTTCAGGAGGGGCTGGCAAGATGACTTAGTGGATAAAGGAGATAGCCACAAAGTCTGACAACTTAGTTACTGAGTTCAGTCCTGAGAACTGTCATGGTGAAATGAGAGGCTCAACTCCCAAAGGTTGTCCTTTGACCTCCACACACATATGTCATGGTGCATGTGCCCCTCATATACTAAATAAAATAAAATAAACACAGAAGAAGAAGAGGTGGAGACTAGGGGAGGGGAGGAGGATGGAGAGAAGAAGGAAAATTAGGAGGTAGAAGGGGAAGAAAAATTAGTAGTGGGGAGGAGGAAGAGGAGGAGGCCAGCAGCAGCAGCAGCTACAGCAGCCTCAGAGACAAGCCCCAGGATGAAGTTCATCTCATGTATGGTGGCACCTTTGTGACTACCACATCTTTTGCTTCATTTTTCCCTTCCATGTGTCTCTCTATCCCACCCTAGTTTATTTCCTTACCTCAACCCTCCATCGTCACATAATCGGCAGGAGCCTGCTGACCTCTGTAAAGTGTTCACCTAGCATTCAGCATGCTGAAACACATGTCCTGTGTGCTCAGTAACATCCAGTGACTCCCAGTTAAAGAGAACATAAGATTAGAAGTCTACACCCCGCTGAGGACTGGCTCGATCCGGCTCCTCTTTCCACCTTTCTTCCACAGTGTGGCCATATCTGGCCCGCCCATTCCTCCTGTTTTCCTAACAACTCCAGAGTGTCCCAGCTCTCCCGTTTGAACTCCGCAGAATCTACTGCCTATACTACTAACTCAGGCACCCTGACATAGAGAGTGCATGTGCCATATAACATAATGCATGTCCTTAATTACAAAATAAAGGATTGTGTCCTCCTGGATTATGTCCAACTTCTTGTGACAGTGTTTAAGCATAATAGTTCTTAGTACACACCTTCTACAATGAATTGTCTCAGAGCTCTGAAAAAAGCACGGAACTTGGGCAGTAACCATTCCTGCTGGTCCTTAGGTGTTTGTATCACATAACATGGTTGCTTATTGACACTTATGGTCAATGTCGGAAGTTCTCAAGTTTTTTTTAATCCCAGATTCTATTTATCCTCTTAACTATCTATTGGTATTTACTATATTAGAAATTAACCTGAGAAATTGTGAAAACATAGAAATGCCTGAGCAAATTCTTCGTTAATTCCGAGAATGGTGATGTTACTGTAAATGGTCACATGGCCTCTGGAGACAACAGCACTTATTCAGAAGAGTGGGGGAGTAAAAATAAATAAATCTTACTTGTTTTTAAAACTGTGACGGACATTTCAGACCCTGAGGGGAATTCATTGACATCCCTCCTAAACATATGTGCTCATACAACCGCCCCTGAGCACTTCAAAAATTACTGATCTAGAATAGTACAGGCTTTAGTCCATCGAGTTATAAGTAGCAATCTGTGTCAATCATTCCAAAATCTTTTCACGTAAAAATATGAGTAAAAATCTAATAGACCATTAGTAAGGATAATATTATCAACTGCAATGTGTATTTGTATGTACATGTGTGTGTGCACTCATTAGTGTAGATAATATGTGTGTGCACTCTCATGTGTGTGTGTGTGTGTGTGTGTGTGTGTGAGTGTGTGTGTGTGCGCACTAACTCTACCCAGAAGTGAGCTGTCCCCATGTTGACAGTGGGATGACTGAAAGCAGAGAGAAAGTGTGCTATATGACAGTGGCCCTGAAACCTACAACCCACTGTGACTTGCAATTTATTCGTGGGACATCTACCAACAACAGGTTCGGCTTTCTTGAATTGTGAATTTGAACTTAACACATGCATCAAGAGGAGAATATAGCCGTTGCATTCTGTTTTGTTTATAGCAAGGTTCCAATGGGCCAGTGAAGAAGTCCATGCGGGAGAAGGCTGTGGAGAGAAGGAACGTTAACAAAGAGCATAACAGCAACTTCAAAGCGGGGTATATCCCCATTGACGAAGATCGTCTCCATAAAACCGGGCTGAGGGGGAGGAAGGGCAACTTAGCCATCTGCGTGATCGTCCTCCTGTTTATCCTGGCCGTCATCAATCTTCTTGTGAGTATGTGGGACGGTCTACCCTCTCAGAAGTTACCTGGGAAGAAAATTTCATCTTTTTACTATGAGATCATAGATTCTGCTTGCATACTGTGTTTTGGGACAGTCTTACCTTCTGCTCCTGTTCTGTGTTTTGGGACAGTCTGTCTTATCTTCTGCTTTTCTATGTGTGTTTTATCTCCTATTGGACTTTAGTTAGTGCTTGAACATAAAAAAACCTAATAGGCTTCTCTCTCCAGTACCACAAGAATAAGTAAACAAAACTGAAAAATCTAGTAAGATAATATATGCATATAGTAATCTCAGCTAGTAAAACATTGATGATTTAAAGGAGTTGTCTTTTAGTAAACACTGTGTAAAGTCAGTGGAAGAGAACTTCAGTGTGACTTTATTGCCCTTTTCTCTCCAAAATATACAATTTCATTCAATGTTGTTTGTAAAACTTGAGCACTCTGGTGGTGTTAACAGTCTGTGTCCTGTAGTCTCAGCTCCAGAGTCAGGCTAAAGGCTCTGCCAGGCCCATTCTCACTGAGGTTGAGGACCCAGCCTGTGCCTTCCCCTGGGTAGTTGATGTTTTGAAGAAGAGGCTTCTCCATATGGCGTTGTAACTGTGGTAGTTAACCCTGGCACCTCTGGCACAGGCTTCTCCATGAATGATAGAGAGCCAGTGATCGATATCTCTCTCTCTCTCTCTCTCTCTCTCTCTCTCTCTCTCTCTCTCTCTTCAGTGTTCTTGAGAAGGCTTTGGACTCAACAGTCTTCCAAAACATTTGTGCCTAATCCCCCACTGAGGTTAGAGCTGCCACACAGTTCAAAGAAAGTACCATAAATAGCTTTACTGGGCATTCTAAATTTACTGTGCCTTATACATTTGCTTTATTGGAGACTGCTGGCAAGGATGACTGAATTAAGACATTTCAATCCCCTTCTCTAAAGTAACAGTGTCAGGAAACACAGTTATATTTGAAGGGAGTGAAAAGTGGCTGAAATCCTGAGGCATAATTTTTGACGACAACAGAAGAGGGAGAATGGCAGATAAATTATCAGAAAAGAAAGGGTGTGTGTGAGTGTGTGTGTGTGCATCTGCGTGTGTGTGAGAGTGTGTGTGTGAGTGTGTGTGCATCTGCGTGTGTGAGAGAGTGTGTGTGTGTGTGCATCTGCACGTGTGTGAGTATGAAGGCTCACAACCTGTATTGGTAAAGTGTACAGAAGCCAGAGTTAGAAGACAAGGGCCTTACCAATCAGAATCAAGACAGGAATTGAAATAGACAAATTGTGCTAAAAATCTGTAGTTAGTGAAATTCCCTGAGCCTCGTTTCCCAGCTAAGCATACTCTTCCTCTAACCACAGCTAAACCATATGTATCCAGATACCCTGGACCACAGCACGAGTACGGTTCCCTCCTGAAAGCAGGGCCGCCTGACTGAGCACAGACTAAATTCCTACACTATTCTGCCTCCATCCTCTGCCTCCAGCTTCCTCCAGGCAGGCCAGGGATGGAGGACCTCTCCCTCCCTGGAGAATTAGGGCACCCAGGCCAGAGATGGACCCCTCCCTCCCTGGAGAGTTAAGGCACCCAGAGAGAGAACACCACATGACAGTGACACTTGACAGGGCCAATAAAAAGCCTACCTCCCTACTGGGAAGCCTGTAGATCAGGGGCCCACCCACAGCAGGAGTCCTCTAGGAGCCTGCTGTGCTGGTGAGTGCCAGTGGGAGATGCTAAAGAGACTGGATCATTCAAATTCTCTCTGGGCTTTTTACAGCTACACGGTTAAGTGTGTGCACTATGTCAGGGTCAGGAGACATGTGAGCATAACTGTAATAACTGGAAACTGATAGAAACCCACGTACTCACCGCGGGCAAAGCAGAAACTCGGGGAGATGAGAAAATGTAATGAACAGCAGAAAACAAAACCCACAGAGCCATGGTGGCACAGGCCTGTAACCCAGTTCTTGGGAGTTGGAGTCAGGAGGATCCAGAGTTCAAGGCTAGACTCCACTACAGAGGATATGAAGGGCTAGCCTGGACTGTATAAGATCTCGTCTCAGGAAGCTACAATACAAAGAAGTCCTTAACACTAAAATCAGTTTCTTCAGAAAAAAATGATATTCCATTCATGAAACAAAAATAACATAACATTCAAATGGTGCAATTAAATAATGAGGAAGTCCTAGAAATTCACATATGTGGCTGGAGAGGTGGCTCAGCTGTGAAAAGCACTAGCCGCTCTTGCAGAGGTCTGGGCTTGGTTTGAACACCTGCATGGCAGCTTACAACTGAACGGTTCCAAAAGATGTGATGCCCTCTTCTGGCCTCCTAGGGCACTGCATGCATGGGGTGCACAAACAATACATGCAGGCAGAACACACACACACACACACACACCGGCACAAAAAAAAATAAACAAATCTTTAAAAAGGGCAATATACACATACACGGGTGGGTAGGCGGCAGGTATTGGAAAAATAAAAGCTCTTCCATAGAGTCCTACAAAATGAAAGCATCACTCTGGGAGCATTCTAATAAAAGGAGATTCAGAAAATGAGAACAGAGAAAGCATTGAAGGAAAGAAATCAAATAAAATGATTTTAAGAAAATTCTCTGAAGCCCAGTGTTGTGGCAATAATCGTTTAATTCCAGTCCTCAGGAGGCAGAGGCAATATCTCTGTGAGTTCAAAGCCAGCCTGCTCTACAGAGTGAATTCCAGGGCTAGAGTGAAAGCCATCTCAACCTCAGAGAGAGAGAGAGAGAGAGAGAGAGAGAGAGAGAGAGAGAGAGAGGAGAGAGAGAGAGGAGAGAGAGAGAGAGGAGACAGGAGAGAGGGAGAGGGGGAAAAAGAAAAGAAAAAAAGGAAAGAAAAAAGACACTTCTCTAGAAAAATTGAAAGCAGTTTGGGCTCGGTGTGATATATTTTAAAAGAGAAGGCAGCAGGAGGGAGAGACAGACAGACAGACCACATTATCACTGTAAAATTTAAGACAACTGTAAATGAAAATTATTTAATTGCACCATTTGAAAACTTTTCTAGAGCAGTGATAAACGTGTTCTGTAGGAAGAGTACAAGCGCAGAGTGTCCCTGTCCCTGTCCCTGTCGTGAGCATTGGAGAGAGCAAGGCAAGGAGGCTGTGGCCTTCAGAGGTCAGAGGTCAGCTCTCAAACACGTCTGGCCAGATTATCTCACATTCGTGAGGGATTGTATAGGCTGTCTTAACATACACATGTGCCAAACGTCTCTCCTTCTAAGTAAGCCTCTGTGCTACCGGAAGAGAGCCCTGAAGCTGGAACCTGAGGGCGCAGACACAGGAAACCGGGCATCTCGCGTGTGAGAAAGCATGAGAGGGAAAGTTCACAGCTCCATTGCGTGGGTGGCCCAGAGACTGGCCAGTCCCCAGTGGAGCAAAAAGACCAGGTCCAGGAAAATCAACTAGGAATGAAGAACAGAACTGACGTTGTCTGAGCAGCTTGAACTGCAGAACATTTATTTTACTGAGATTTGTAGAAATACACAAGTGTTCAAGATTTAGTTCAATTTATCAAAGAAAAGAAAATATTGAACTATGAAGACATAAATATTTAAAAAAATGAATTAGAGTATATTGTTTAGTATGATGGTGAATAATGCTTACACGGTCATAATCAATAGATGTTGAACATAGATTTGACCGAGTCTGTTTGGAGGTGGAAGAGAAAAGACATAACAGTAAGCCTAGATTCCCGTCTGCGAACATAGGAGATAGAGCAGAGGAAACCTTTTTGGGTAAAGGAAGAAACACAATACACACTATTTAGAAATAGGAAATCAGGTCTACATGGAATAGCTTAAATTGAAGAATGTGGTTGTTTGTCCTTGGGGAACCAACGAGAATAGGAAACGGTAACACTGCCGTTTATGAGGGACCTTCTGACATGCCCGCCTCTTGACTGTGTATGCTTTGTGTCTTGATAAAAATGTCCTCCAAGAAGACCACCAGGCAGTGTGTTCATCTCACTGATTAAACATGTCAGGAGACCTCGAACACTCGAAGAGGACGGCTGGCTGTTTGCTTCCGGGTGTGTCTGGTGCGTGCCTACTAAGAGCAGACACGCCTGTCTTTCAGATCACACTTGTCATCTGGGCCGTGATTCGCATTGGGCCAAATGGCTGTGACAGCATGGAGTTTCACGAGAGCGGCCTGCTGCGGTTCAAGCAGGTGTCCGACATGGGTGTCATCCATCCGCTTTATAAGAGCACGGTGGGAGGAAGGCGGAATGAAAACCTGGTCATCACAGGCAACAACCAGCCAGTAAGTTTCTGCACCAAGGGAAGTGTGTGGAGGTAGAGGGGTATGGGCAACAGTTCTCACAAGAACCTACAGACAAAAGCTAGAAATGAGTATCTTCTCTTTTAAAGTATGTATTATATACACAAACTTATCCATATTCACAAATACTCAACAGTAATATTATTGGCTTTATAATCTTGCTAGAGTTAGGTACTTAATATTCTAGGGGTTTTTTTTTTCCGGTAGAAGCATTCACTGATGTAAGAATATGTAGATCACTATTTTCTCTTCCATGTGACAAAGCTATTGTAAAGTCCCCTCCCAGATCAGAAAGCCCAGATTCTGAGAATCAGGAAGAGAAGTGCTACTCAGCAGCAGACAAGCCCCAGTGCTGCTAACACACAGCATTTAGCCGAATGAAACCTCAAGGGCGCGCCATACCTCCACCGTGGCTGTCTTAGGGCCCAGCCATGTTCCCTGTGGCCTGTGTTGTTGTACAGTGGGTCATGTATGAGCAAAGGGGTGTACAGACCTGCATTTTAAAGTTGATTATCGTCCAGAGTCTTATGGGCAGATGCAGTTGAAAGAATTTCAAGTTTGGCTCTTACTGTCATTTTAGATTTTGTCCTTTCTGGTCTGTAGTACTCTTAAAAACAATAGCCATCACAAATTTTGTTTGCAGCACTCTTTGAAAACATACACATAATGAAGCATTTTTCTCAAGATTGTTTTTCAGCAAGGGACAACCAAGCTGAGTGTTGAGAAGAACAAAACCTCCATCACCAGCGACATCGGAATGCAATTTTTTGACCCAAGGACACAAAATATCCTATTCAGCACAGACTATGAGACACACGAGTTTCATCTGCCAAGTGGAGTGAAAAGTTTGAACGTTCAGAAAGCGTCGACTGAAAGGGTTTGGCCCATTCTTTTACCATCACTGACAGGGGTTGGGGGGAGGGTGTTGGCAGCAGCTACTCCTAAATGCTGTGTGTTAGCAGCTTAGGCAACCTGAGAACATGACTTCCAGAGCATCGGAGGGCTACAGAAGCCCTGCACACGCACTAGGTCCTCTCTTTATGTTAATCCCCACAATTGTAAACCTGCCCTTCATAGTCCAGAGTTGAGATGTTCCTTCTCTATAGTAATGAGTCTCTTGTTACCCACAAACTCTCCTTAGCGTGTGCTTTCATTTTTCAGATTACCAGCAATGCTACCAGTGACTTAAACATCAAAGTCGACGGGCGTGCAATTGTACGTGGCAATGAAGGCGTGTTCATCATGGGCAAAACCATTGAGTTTCATATGGGAGGGGATGTGGAGTTAAAGGCTGTGAGTATTTTTTTTCTGTGTGAATTTAAGATAATTATTTTGGAATAGTATATAATTACATGTGGACTAGTATATAAATACTGAAAATGACTTTGTCAGGATGAGATGGACTGTGAAATGAAAGAAAATTATAAAATACTTTGTAAGACATCTCATTTCTTTACAAACGTGCAGTTTATAAAATCTGGAAGGATGCAGTAAAGTATTAATAATATTTAGCTAAGAGTGGTAGAATAACAGGTGATTTAATTTGTAAATCTGCTTATTTGCATTTTACATTATTTTAAAAGGAAGAAAACCATAATCCAAACAGACCTTCGGATAGAGAATTTTAGGAGGTCAGACCATGTGTCCTGAAGTAGCTACTATTGTCTCCTTGGCGGTCACTCCCGTTCGTTTTCAAGTTCTGTATCCAAGACTGTCAGAGAATACTTGAATGGGGACACATGCTTTTATCTGATGCCTGTCAGCTGTGAGGGAGCAAGTCTGTCATCACTGTGGCATTTGCTGCAGCATCCCAGATGACCCCAGAGCTTCGGTTAGTCTCCTAGTCCATGCAGGGGAGCTGCAGCCTGCACCCTTCTTACTAGCTTGCAGTTTCAGCCACAATAGAGTTACCTGCGTGCCTCTGGGCGCCTCGCTCATGTCGCTTACTGAGGGCTGAGGAAATCTGTGTTACCAAAGACAATTTGTGTTACATATGACAATAGCAACCTTAAACCTGAACACTTAGAAGTCATTCCCCAGCTTTCAAAAAATAAGTTCAGTATTATAATTCTTAGAAATAATAAACTTTAGGAAGAAAAGTAGGTGTTTCACTTTGACAGTTCCCCCAGCGTGCATAATCCCATCTCTGGATGATAAATATAACTCCTGGCAAAGGGGTCACAGCCACCGTGAGGTTTCCGCTGTGCTGTGGTAGGGAGCTCTCTGACGAACGACAAGCAGCCACGCCTGAGGGTTGCAGCTGACACTGAAGGTCAGAGGTGAGGTCTGAGCCCTTTGTGTAGAGAACGTGTATAAGCTACCTGGATCTTTCATTCTGCCCACCAGGAAATTCTTGTCCCATTCTGCCTTGTCAGTGTGACAGGCCATGAAATAGTCTGAAGTAGTCGTACCTACTAATTTCTAGAATTGAAAAAATACTCAGCCTTGTAAGTCCGTTGATATCTATAGTTAGAATGTAAACTAATCACTAGCAATTATTTTACCACACAACTTTTTAAACTTTAAGTTTCACTTTTATTTTGACATGTAATATTCTTATTTATGTGGTACATTGTATGTTTTGGTATATGTGCACATGATCAAATTAGAGTAACCAACGTGTACATCATCTCAGATATCTCCTAATAGTCTTAGATGAAGAGCATTCAAATTTATCTTTCCTGACTGTTAATACACAAATACTGTTAACTTTAGTCACCCGATGCTACGACGTATTGGTGGTTGCTATTTAAGAAATATTTTCAAGAAAGTAAAATTAAATGACCACAAGATGGCAGCATAGAAACAAAATCTGAAACAGCCCTTAGCATTGCATTTCCTGCCTGTAACTTTCAGAATAATATTGAGTGCTTTGTTCTGAAAATTTCGATGTTCTCCCAGTAAAATCCATGCAGTTATTCCAAAATAAATAAACTTGGAAATATGAAATGGTTCTATTCCAAACAAAATGGTTCCAGGCAAAAGCCTGTACATCGCAGTGGCCATTCTGTCCCTCTGACAGTTTTAAGCCCCTCCCTGAAGTGTTGACCCCCATGCTTATGTGTTGGCCTTTCCTGTTAAGTAGGTTTCTCTAGTCCAGCTGCCTGCCTCCTTTCCACACATCCACACCTGCAGGCATCTGAATTCCTCAAGTGTAAAATCGTGATGTCCTAGGTCCTCACCAGACATGCATTTCTATCTGTGCTCCGCCCAACCACCACTGGCAAAGCTCAGCTCTGCCTGCAGGCTCCCTGCAGCCCCTGGCTGCTTCTCACCAATGCAGCATATGTGGTGGGGCTACTGCACTGCCTGGACCGTTGGAGCAGACGGTTGGCTCCCCTTTGCTGTTCACCCACTAAATATGCGCTACTTCTCTACTCAGAAACTAGTAGCCACTGACAGTTTTCATGAGATGGGATCTCACCTGTACCTTAGGCTGCTCTGGACTCAAATCTTCCTGCCTCTCAAGTGGGTCAGAACGCTGGCATTTAGATTTGTGCCACGGCACCTGCTTCAGAGGGACCTTATAAAAAGACCCTGTCTCTATCACCCTCTAAATGGGCTTCCCTTTTATTTCCAAATAAAACCCTCAGTCTGTCCCCCAGCCTAACAGGTCTCCCCCGTCACTTCTTTGTCTCACATCCTACTGTGCCCCCTTCCCTTAGCCTCTGTGCTTCATGTGCCCTGAACCTACACAAGACACACCCTCACAGTGGCCTTCCAGTCAGTGTCCTCCGCTGGAGTGCCTTCCCCGTGACCCACATGCCCCACCCACTCATGTTTCCACTTTTATTGGAATGTAATCTGATCAGAAAGACTGTCTCTGCACCCGTGTAAGCTGCAGTCCTCAGCCACCTGCCCTCCACTCACCCTGCTTGTCCTCCCTTGTAGCATATCCCGCCTCCTGCCCTACAGAGTTTCCTATATGCTGACTCATTATCTGCCTCCCTCCGCTCGGTGACACTCTATAAGAATGTGTCTATTGCCCATGTGTTTACCGTCATCTCCCCAGTACCTAGGATGGTGTCTGGCAGATGGCAGTATTTAGTAATTATTTGTTAAATGGTAGAAAAGAAGGGAGAGGAGGGGAGGGAGACAAGTCGAAACTTACTGGTCTCTTGGGAGGCTGAGATGGCTCAGTTGGAGAAGTGCTTCCAAACAAGCATGGAGACCTGAATTCAGAACCATCACACACCCAAATAAAAAGCCACGCACGACAGTGGCGTGAGCCTGTCTATGATCCTGGTGCTAAGACTGTAGAAGCAGGTGGATCAGTCAGAGAAGCTGACTCTCTGAGCTCCAGATTCAGTAAGAGAGAGACCTTGCAACAAGGAGTATGATAGAGAGCCACTGACAGAGACACACATGCTCAACCTCTGAGCTCTGTGTGTGCACACACTCACACACACACACACACACACACAGCCTTAAGAGTCTACAATATGAGAATGATTTTGTAGCTATAAGTATAAATAAGAAAGCGTCAGTTTCTTTGAAGGCCTAGTCTAATAAACTATATAGTTTTAAATTTAATTGAATTTCCATTAATTAAAATTAGTTTCCTATAAGAGAAAAATACACCACCACCACCACCACCACCACCACCCCCGTCAATATCAACATCAGTCAGTAAAAGTTCTCTGGAGTCAAGAATTATCCAAGACTCTGTCACGTGTGCAGGACGTGATTTTGACGAGTGCTTACAAGCTATGTTGCAGACTTACTGGCGCACAGTATGAGCTGACTAAGCCAGGAGTCGCCTTTGAAGCCTTGTGTGTATTTTGTTTTTGCTGTGGCCACAGTTGTTCTGATTATGACTTTACTCTCTGACTGCCACCTCTTCCTCTTTATCGTTCCTCAGTCTTGTCACGTTTAGTATCTTTCTTCTGGGCCCACTGATGGAAGTGACTAACTTATGTTGCTGTCCCCATAGGAAAACAGCATCGTCCTCAACGGCACCGTGATGGTCAGCCCAACGCGTCTGCCCAGTTCCTCCAGTGGGGACCAGTCAGGGAGTGGTGACTGGGTGCGCTACAAACTCTGCATGTGTGCAGACGGCACACTCTTCAAAGTACAAGTAACAGGCCACAACATGGGCTGCCAGGTCTCAGACAACCCTTGTGGAAACACTCATTAGAAGGTGCATCTGCAGGGCTCAGCGTGTTCAGATCTAACTTGACTCTCCCCTTTTTAAGAATGCATGTGAATCACGTTTCTACAGAGTTTGCCATAACTTGTAATTATTTTAACTAGGGAGCACCACTGTATCTATTATGTACTCTCCATATTTAAGGGATTTTTGAGTGCCTAAATTCTAATACATTTTAGTAAGTTGCACTGATACTCAAATGACAGTTCTCTAAAACAATTATGAGAAATTAATAAAATCAAAATTAATCTTTGAAGAGTTTTTAACATTTTACTATCTCTTGTCCTGAAAGACAAAGGACTGAAGCGGTTATGACTCACTATCAGTAAGCCTTTGCTCATTTCTAATGGGGAGAGATCCACTAGAGATGTTAGGAGGGGACAGGGACACTGTTTGTGCTCTGTCTTTGACTTTTAAAGGGGAAGGCACAGATTTTTAATGCAATAACCCAAAGCCACATTTTTCACAAACAAGTCATTAAAGAACTTTCCATATATAAGCTTGTAAGAAACTATGTTTTCTTAGTTTTGCACTAAAGAAAATACTGTATGGTATGTTTACTTGAAATAATGATACATGTAAGTACTTACAGTGTGTGGACATTAAACACAATCACAGCTCTCACTGGCATGCAGTAACAGAAGTGTCATCGTCAGGCCTCTCCTCGCCAAGCACTGTCCTGGGCACTGATGCTTGATCTGATTCTCACTGCACCTCTCTAAGTAAGTGCTTCGATCCCAGCTTTACCCATCAGGAAACTGAAGGTCAGGGAGGTGCAGGAAGCTGCCCCATACTCTATGGTAAAGGATGGACTCAGGGTTGGAAGTCAAGTACAGTTCTAACCCAGGTGAACCTAATTCCAAATGTGTTTCTGCCTTTTTTACTATCTACAATTTTCAACTATTTAAAACTCTCAAAGGATGAGAAAAGCCTAATCCTAATTTACCTAATAGGTAAAAATCAAGAATGTGTGCTACTATAGTTAAAATACCAATGCTAGCAAAACATGACCAATCACTGTCAGATTTTAAACTATCTTGAGCCAGTTTTAAGCTGTCATTCAATAGACTGATCTACTTGGTCTGCTTGTCATGTAGGTGCTCCTACATGAATGAGTTATAGAGGCTGATGTACTTTTCTCTAAGCCCTGGGGAAGCTCAGCGGGAAGGAGGGGGAGCTAGGCCTCAGTAGGCCCTGCTGTTCTGAGATCGTTCCTCCAGTGTCCCATACCAGCATCACCCTTTAGAAGTATACTGTGCCTAGAAACCATACACATGAGAAAACAGGGTGCTAATTCGGGAGATGATGCAGGTCATTTTAGCTAGGTATAAAACTTTTATTCCCTGCTCCTCATCTCAGCCTCATTTTAATTACAGTCCTCAAGCCAGTTGATTCTTAACATAGTTTATACTTGATTTAAAAGAATTTCTTGGTATTACTAAAACACATGAGATCGGGGAAGAAGACTACATAGCTCTAAAGTAGACATTAGGGAGGTATCATGAGCCTAGCTACAGAGAAAGATGTTTGTATCCTGTCATGGTCACTTAGAACTGTGCAGATAAGAAATCAATACATAAAACAATTTATGTTCAATATTGTCACAATTCTGTCAAATGGGAAAACTGAATACCTTGTAGATTGTAAACTCAGGCTAAGGTAAGAGCTGGCTGGAGACCTGACACTGAGTGCAGATGTTATATGTAACAAAAGAGAGCCATTTATACTCTGGATATAGTCAAGTATTGTTTAATAACTAAATAACGCTCAGAAAAAAAACATGCTTGGAATTCTCATTTCCATGCTCAGTGTATTTTAAATTGTACATTTTTTACATGTTCTATTTAAATTTGTTTTGAGAGTTTCTTTAAATAAATATTTTTACTAAATCCACAGAACACTATATTACAAAGTATTATTTACTAAATACGATTCATGAAAAAAAAGTGTATTTTTACATGTCTGTGAGAAACACGTGTGTTTTGATACACCTCCATTGAGCACGTTGACGTTTGAGGATATCCTGATGCTTTGTAAACTCTTGGTTACTAGGTATGGTATTTTAGACGGCATTGCGGATAAACCCACTGACACACTGACCTGCGAGCTCTGCTTGGTGCACAGTGAAGCCGCACTGTTAAATCTGGCCACCAGGGGGCGAATTCCTTCTCGTGTTCATTTCTTCTGTTTTGAACATACCACACTGAGAGGACTTACTGCAGCCCTGGGGAAGGTAGATGCAGGAGGAACCCAGGGAGGAAAACAAACACACATTTAAAGTAAGGAGAGTATTCTAGAGGTGAATATCAATGAAAGAGATAGAAGAAATACAAGTAAGACTCCTTTCAGATTGTCCCGTGGGGGTGGGGGGTATACAACACAAAGCAGGAGCTAGCTACCTGCCATCATCCACGACCTTTTAAAATATGCTTTATTGGCAAGCTTTTTGCGTTGTGACAGAAGCAGAATAAATTTTGTGTGATAGCTTTGATGATGAAATGTAGAATTTCTACCTGGTTTTGATGAGTTTTTTTTTTTTAATTACTGTGTTAAACTTGATGAAGAGGAGACCATTGAAGTGCTGGTCATTATAGTCTTTTGAATGACGTCAAGAAGGGCAAAGGTTACAAGTTATGCCACACAAAAATATACCTATGTATTTCGGATTGATGACCTCTGTTTACAATAAAACTCTGAGAACTTCGCTGTCAGTTTCTTCATGACTTTATTAATGAGCTTCTACATTGGCACAAACACACAGATTCTAAAATATGGCTGGAGGCTGGGGCGTCAAGACCTGTTTACACGAACTCTCTGCAGTCAGAGGTAGAAAGCTACCCATTCGCGTTTAGATACCCTCACCTTCTGGGCCTTATAAGAAGGCTTCTCCCCCAGTGGCCGAGGGAAGGGTGGACTCAGTAAGGGAAGAGCTTCATCTCTAGATGAAAGGGCTGGGCTGGCTGCAGAACTGGGTGGGATGGGCGGAGCCTCGAGGGCACAGATTTAAAATCCTCCCCTGCTGGACAATTGGAGACAAACCAGTTAGAAACTACCCTAAGGACACTAAGGTAGGCCCCAGGAGCGGCATCCTGTCCTTCCCAGGTCTCATTACCTGGAGGGCTTCATTCACTGTTTCCAGTTTCTTTTTCTAATTTCTTAGAAAAGAATTAATCTTCATCTTTTCTCTACTTTGGTTTTTTTCCTGTTACCTTTTCTTTCTCATTCTACTTAATTACTTATACTTTCCTCTGGAGGTCTCTGGTTTGGGGTGGGGGGGTTATTGGTGGTGGTGATGGTGGTGGTTGGTTTTGGCTTTTTAGGTTTTTTGGGTTGGGGGGGTTTGTCACACACATAGACATTTGTATGTAATATAATGTTTCTTTTCATCTTCGACATAAAATTATACTAATCTGCCTGGTTTTAGAACAAATCTACTCACTCTCAATCTCTTCACCTTGAAAAGGACCAGACTATAAAACCCTTTCATTTATATCCTGTTTTAAAAGTGTATTTTTGAACACCTTCTTTTTCCTCACTGTTGAAAGAATGTGCATACTTATGTTCACTGTCTTTATTTTTTGCTACTATTACATTACCTTGGCATCCAGTGGTGTGCGCAATGATTGCAGCTTTAGTGTCAAGACAAATCTCTCTCTGACCAAGAAAATGAAATCAGTTGTTGGTATTGCGTAAGGGGTGTACTATAATTTCCTCCTTGCTGTTGGTAGGGCACCTTTGCTATTTATGTACCTAAATTTAGTTGTCTTCTGAGAGATGGGAGAGTTGACCTTGCATGAAACAAAAGTTTAGAAGTTGCAGCAAGAATGTCCTTCATTCTGTACATTCATTCATGCAGAAATCATAGCCCGTGACAGACTCCAGAGCCTTAACTCTAGGAGGGCCGGGGGGTGGGGAGGGAGGAAGCTACTTGCTCTCCTTTTGCTTTGTGTGCTAACAATGTGTGATGGCATTGACATTCAGTCAGGTTGAATGGAATTGAATGCATTCACTCAATATTCACTGAAAATATCGGGAAAGCAAAGGCAAAGCATTGGCTACTGTAAGGAAGACGGGTTCAGACCCTACGACTTGAGATGACACTTAACGGAAGTGCACCACAATTCAGACCGTGGAGGGGAATGGCACTGGTCATGGATTAGAGGGAGACATTTGACTGTGAAGTAGACAGACACATTCCTCGCCCAGGCCACAACTTGCCATTACCCTCCAAGAGTGGCTTACCAGGGTATCTACAGTACAGGAAGTTTTGAATGCCTACTTTGGGAATTTGGACTACAGGCAATTAAAAAGCACTTTAAATTTTCAAAGGAGAAAACTGCATATGGAAAATGGTATTGGGGGGATGACGCCTGGAGTTACCTACGATGGAGGGGTGTGTGGGGAAGCATAGCAGAAGCTACTCTACTGTTTCAGACATGACAGGGAGAGCAGGCGGGAATGAGTGATTTGTGGCTGAGAAAAAAATGTATTCTGGCTTTGTCTTCACAGGGTTTAGCTTAGAGCAAATCTCTGCAATCCGTTTCCCGCACCTCTTACAGGTGCTTTCCTGCATGCATTCACCTTTGTAACCTGTACACACTGCTTTCAAAAACTACCGTTGCTCCCCAAGAGTGAGGAGGGGAAAGACTCGACGTTTCTATATTTTATGGCACCTCATGGCTTGGGGGCAGACCATCCTTCTCATGGCCATTTTTATCTACTTTGTGTGCATTTAAAAGGTTTTAAAATCCTGTGAAAAGTAGCAAAAGCCATAAGCATAAAGCCTGTGGCTGGCTCTCGTCAGGAAAGACTCCAGTGTTTGGTCTGTGATTGCACTTTGTGTCCGTCGGTGAGGTTCCTGCTCTAGGGAGACTGCAGTTATTCATGTCATAAACCGCGCGACGGTGTTCTCCATAAGCAGAGCAGACTTTGCCCGATGCAGGGGACACGGAGCTGAGGCTTCTCTGGGAGGAAGTCGGACTCACTGGAAAGCAGATCACAGGCTGGAGGATACTGAGAAGGCAGAGGTAAGGCTTTGCTCGACATGTATTTCATGAAGACCCAGGGGAGGTCTTTCCATTAAATGTACATCCGTGTCACTGTAGTCTACAGTCACACCTTTTGGGTAGTTTCTTTTCAGAACCCAGTTTCTAAGAAATCAAATGTTCACTTCGCTTGATAATTGAGTGAGTTTTCTGAATCTCGAATTGGAGATTCGATTTCCTGCTTTTGATTTGCTTTGACATGTTATTTTGAGTGGTCTGATTTGTTTACCCTTTTCCAGGCATTATGAAAGACTTCTACGTCCGAGTTACTATCATAGTGACAGGTCTTTGCTTTGTGGAAACAGTGGCAAACCCATCAAGAAGAAGTATTTCCCTCGATCCTGAGTACCAGACGAATGGGGATCTTCCGGCGAACTGGTCTTCTACAAGACACACATCACAGAAATCAGACACCATGGATAGGAGTGTCTATTTCTTTAGAGTTCTCTTCCAGCCTCGCACAAAAAAAGAACAGCACATTAAACACCTGGACCTCAGTAACCATCGCATATGGAAATTGACCCTTGCCCCTCTCGCGCATGCGCATGCTTTGGAACTACTAAACCTCAGCAACAATGCTATCCACACCCTCTGGCTGGATCTGCCCCTGCCTCCTTCCTCAGAGCAAAAGCACCACAGAAGCCGCTCCCTCGGCCAACTCCCACAGCTAAAGGTGCTGATACTTCAAAGGAATCAACTCAGTGGCACACCTAAAGGTAAGCAACTTGAAAGCATAGATGAGACAGAGAAAGAGTATGTGGGGAACTGGTGTTTTATGTCAGCAAGAGTTCTTCTGTATTTATGTTCAGTTTCAAGGGAGCGGCTGAAAAGGCAAAGCGGTGACCGAGCAATTACAATCAAGGCGTTTCCAAGACACGGCCTGCCAGAGCGAAATTTACAATTAGTGCAGCATAATGTCCCACTTTTTCAGTCGCATTAATGTTGTATGAGTTTGTCAGGAAACACCAGGACTATCTAGGTGCTAGAAAATAATCTCTGGTGTATTTAGTTTGCGCTTTGGCAGTTTGTTTGTTTGTTTGTTTGTTTGTTTGTTGAGATAGAATTTCACTCTGTAGCCCAGGCTGGCCTGGAACTCCCTATGTAGAAAAGAGATCTGCCTGCCTCTGCTTCCCAAGTGCTGGGATTAAGCATGAGTGCCACCAAGCCTGGCTATGCTACCTATTTTGTTTGCTATATGTATTTATTAATATGTGCAAGCAGTGAGAAATAATGTATACAGGTATTTTAATATATAATATAATTTAAATTAAACATATTGCCATATTTGCAATTTTTTTCTTGAAACACATTTTGCTCTTTTAGTTTGTCCACCAAACGCAGACCAGGAATATCTCAATATTATATAGTTACACGAAAAACTTCCTACTATGAAACCCAAATCAGAATTTCATGCCACAGCTTAAGCTGGACCCTGGAGGTACTGCCTTCAGTTTTCTGGAACAAGAGAGTTTCTGATTCAGAGCTGAAGGAGGGTCCTTTAAGGGATACATAAAACAGCCTTACATCAGCCTCCTCTTTCCATCCAAGTCCTGTTCCTCAGCTGGGGCAGAATTACAGAGAACATCCCCCCTCGCCCCGTGTCAGACTTTCAGTTTGGAGGAAAGCCTTTTCTTCGTGCTTTTTCAAAGCCCTTTGAGAAAAACCCTGGCGATTCCCTTCTCTGAAGACAAAGGTCCCGGGTAGAGATGGGCTTCTTCCTTTTGAGCTTGAACTTCTGGCTTCAAGAATAGAAGAGGGGAAATGGTGAACTTGTAGAGGGAACCATGGAAAAACAAAACAAGTCAGTCCTGCCTCTGGGGTTCTGTTAGAACTCTGCCAAATGATGCCTTCAAGACAGGAAGGCCTCGAGTCCACGTAATGTGGAGATCTGATTGGGCACCATAGTCCTTTATCCAGTCCTTTCGTGATGTGAGCTCAAACCTGCAGTCAACATACGCATGAAGTTTGCCCCAGGTTAGATGCCCCACAACACCGATTCTGTCTAGGGCTGGCCACACAACCCTGAATCCCATCTCCGAGGGGAGGAGTTGGTGAGCCGTGCCACTTGGGGAGTGTCCCAACTTCTGACCTGCCCCTTTCTCTTTCTTTTCTGCTCATATGTCTAAATGATAATATCTAGATAATGCAGATACTCCCTGGTCCATAATCACCATAAATCCATCACAGGTCACAAATACCGTAAGTCAGAAATGTATTTACATATACCTGTTGGAGTTCCAATATTAGATGACTTTCACCAAAGGCTCATGTGTTTGAACAGGTGGGTCCTTAGTTGATGATTCTGATTGGGAAGGCCACAGAAATTTTAGAAGGAAAACAAAAACCTTGCAGAAGGCAGTACGTCACTGGGGGCAGACTTTGGGGCCTTTGCCATTCTCTCTGGGTTTCAAAGCTTGGATGCAATGTAGTTAGCCAGCTGCCTGCTCCTGCACCACCCTGCCTGTGGCCACGCCTCCGCAGCCATCGTGGGCTCTAACCCTCTGGAACTGCGAGCCAAAATCCCTTTTATCCTTATGCTGGTTTTACCAAGACAGTTTATCACAGCAATAGAAAAGAAACTAACCAGGCACCTAACCCAGCAGGCATTGCTGCTTGCTTCACCTTCCCTCAGACCTTCTCAGGACACTTACATTAGCAGGAAGCTTGAAGAAAACCGTGGAACACAAAGTCCATTTTCTGATAAAACATTGGGTAGATAGCTCATGTAACACTGAACACAGTGCTGCAGGCGTGAACCAGTGGCTGTGGGACACGCTTTCATACCATCGTAAACCAAGAGAAAAAAAAAAAAGTAACATGATAAATCAAAGACTCCATGAGCTTTATTCAGATTGTTAAGATTCAATGTAAAAGATCCCTCGTGCCTCTGTAATGCAGTAAGTCATGCCCAGTACATGGTAGCAATTAAAAGATGTAAACGTAGTTTGGAAACCTGAAAATGATTTGCAAATATTGGTTTTTATTGCTCTCTTGGCACAAATTGAAAACAACAGCATACTTAGGAATAAATGATTAATTTGCTTCTCTCTAAATCTCAAACTGTCTTTTAAAATGTTAAATGGTCATTGGCAGGAATGGGATCCGTAAGCCACTCTAATTCATGAGCAGAGCGCTCTGTGTGTCTACTTAGCTGTGCTCTACTGGTCCCGAACAATAATAAATTAGAAACGCCACAGAAGGCAGCCCTCCAGCAACTAGCCATGTAGCATACACAGCTTCAAAATTCATGGCTTGTATCTTTAAATAGTGCCTGTCTATATGACACTCAGGAAAGCCCATTATTATAAAGTTGAAGCATCACACTGGCTAATCTATTGTCAGGCAATCCTGTGTGTTGAGTCAACTGTGACGTCACCAATAAGTTTTATGTTGAGGAAACACCCTGGTCAGGTGCTGGTCAATACAAAAGAGAAGCCAGACATGAATTTAATCTTAACGATATTTCCACCTTCCGCCCATAATTTTGGAAGAGCTTAACTCTTGAAAAGTGAATTAGTATCTTTTAATGGCTTAAAAAATCAGCATTCTGGCTTTTATATGACTGTAACATAATACCTGAGATGAACAACTTAAAAAGAAGAAGGTTTTAGGTCATAGTTTTACCAGCCCGTGGTAGTTGGTTCTGTTGCTCTGGGGCCTGTTTTGAGCTGTACATCATGACAGAAGCACTTGTAAGAAATGTCTAACTTAGTGGTATCAGGTAATGAGAGGTCACAAGAACTCCACATCCAACAGTCCTCATCAGGGGCATGTTCCCTGTGGCCTCAAACTATCTCTTCATGGTTCCACTTCCTTTCAGCAGCTCTGAGCTAGGGACAAAGCCTGTAACACATGTCTTCTTGGGTACACATATCCCGGCCACAGCAATCAGTATTTTAGAAGTTTAAAGCAATGGGGTGAGCCTCTAAGTCCCTTACCACGCAGTATTTCAGTACTTTAGAGAGTGAACGTGCTGGGGCAAACACCTTTCTGTGGTTACTGGGAGGCTGACAGGTCAGACTGGTGTCCTCATGTTAACCCATCCAAGTTTCAGAAACCTGAGGGCTGCATTAGAGGCAAGGTGGGATAGGAGCTGACATTGGAAAGGAACAGAATTGAACAAGAAAGAAAATGCAGTGTCTTATAAAACAAAAGCTCTCTGTATCCTTTTACCCACAAGATTTAGATTATAGAAATACAAATAACCACTATTCTCGAAATCAAATCAGTTTTTAAAGACATAAAGTGTATGGACAACATTAGGCTAAGAGGACAAGATTTTGAGTCCCTTACACACCTTGATCACTATAAGGGAGGACATATTGAATAAAATGTCTCACCCTGGATCATTTTAGACACTACCCTAATTTTTAGTACTTGGAGCATGGAGCCATAAAGTCAGAATGGTGTCGTGCTGTTATCTGATGAGCATTTGGAAAGGCATGCAGAAGTTCATAGTTCAAAGACAGTGTTCACTAAGGTGGTGGCTAGACTCCGGTCTCCACCTTTTTACTTACTGACCCTAATATGATATCCAGGAAATAGTAGGACTGTCTCTGGCCACTTAGATACTGGATGATTCCATTCCTAGCCTAGGTAATAATCAGAATGACGTTCTATAGTTAATTTCATTTCCTCAAAGTCGATTCTGAGTTTTCCTCTCAGCATTGAGTGTTCCTCTCTGAAAACATGAACTCTAACGGCCTCGAGATGTCCCAGTGCAGGCCAGCACAGAATAACTTTGTTCATTTCAACTACCCATCATCAGTGGCACAAATAAGAAACACATTTTTTCCCCACTTAGAAATGTACCCTGAAAACATAGATGTGTTACTCAAATCACCTAACTCCATCTTGGGAGACCTTAAATAGACAGGGCCATTTGTAAAAACCATACTATACCTTAATAAAACAAAATCTTAATCTTCTGAAGTTGAGAGAGGTTCCTGATACTAAGTTCCGTATCCACAAGAAATTTACCCTCCTTGGGAAATCTTGGGTTGGCTTTATGAGGGAAGTTGGATAAAACATCTTACTGCCTTACTCTATTCTGTTTACTTACTGACCTCAAGCAACTCAACGTAAGAAAGTCTTATCTCTGAGAACGAGGCGTATACAGGATCAGCAAACGTCACACATGCTGTGTAAAGACCAGAGTACAAAGTGACAGTCATATAAAATAGCTTAGCACTGTTTACTTCTTTTTTTTTGAGTATGGAATAGAGTTTATTTAGGGCATAGAGGAGTTAAAGGGGTAGTAGACACAGAGAAAGGCAGAGAGGAGGGGGGTATGTAGAAGAGTAGAGGCCAGCCATGAACACGTGTGGGGGGGAGGGAATGAGGAGAGAAGGGACAGAGAGGGAAGAGGATACAAGGGTAAGAAAGCAAGAGAATGTTTGTTCCCTTTCGTGTTGATGGATAGCCCTGAAACTCTTACTGTGGGGCCCACTCCAATCTTTTCTGTCCTCATATCTTCTTTGATTTCAGGTGCAGTAGAATATTAAAGGATATTCAGACGATCCACAAGTGTTTGAGATCTATATACAATGCAGGGTATTTCTCAACTGCCATATTGCTATGTTCAAGCTTGTGTGGGCCTCTATAGTGTTAGAGGCCCCTACCCATGCTTGTTTGAAGCCTTCTTGGATCTATGCTCTGATGGTGAGCCATTCTGACCTGGGAAATAAGCCATCTTTCCTCTCCAGATAGGATGGAG